TATATCCTGACTTCCATTTTAAAGTAGGCTGGTTTAATTCATCTGTTCCTGTTAAATCCCATGTCTCTCAGCAGCTGTCATTTACTAATCAGCATTCAAAAACTTCAGCCTACAAGGCAGCATACGGAATCCAGGCTCCCTGTGAACCTTTCATCTTTTTGTGGCTTTTGTCCTTTGTATTACTTTAATCTTTCTTCAAAGACTCTATTTTATTACTTATAAACTATTTCCTTTTTCCATTATTTATCTCTATACATTTTCCTTTCTTTGTCAAACTCACACACATTTTAAAAACATACCATAACATGCTTAGAGGTGATGGGAGGTGTCATTCTGTATATATATTTGTCTTACTGGTTAATGAACAAAACACCGATTGGCCAGGCAGGATGATAGGTAGGACTAGGAGACAAGGAGGATTCTGGGAAGCGTAGGCAGAGAGGATTCGTCATGTGATCCCAGGAAGTGACATAGCTGGGTAGAAACTGCTACTAGATAACCATAGAGGTCTAGAGGTCTGTACAGATAGACAGGAAGTGACATAGCTAGGCAGATCAGTATATAAGCAGGGACAAACAGGAAATTGCTCTCTTCTCTGCAGATATGCTGAACAGTTGAGATGTAGGACCCCAGAGGAGTAAGAGGTCCCTGGATCTTTCTCCTGTAAGATAAGACATGGACATACTTAGATTTATAGAAATGGGTTAATGATTAAGAATAAGAAACTTTAGCCAAAGGCAACAGCTTTATAACTAATATATGGTCTGTGTACTTCTTTGGGGCAGAGAAGGGCTGCGGGACCAGCTGGGCCAGAAAACTTCACCACATTACACAGAGTTTTTGTTTTTTGTTTTTGCTTTTATCTGAACCTGCTTGACTAAGTACTTGCAGCTTCATACTTGCAACATTCTATGATGCACAAGCCAAACATTAAACTGCTAAGCGGCTTTGATCTGGTGGCTCTGGGGACTGACTCAACCTCTGCTTGGGTCCTTGAAAGCTGAGCCTTATGCCCAGAGCCTGGTCAGAGATGCCTTCAACTGGGAACTGCGTCTAACCACCCCAGTTCTAAGAAGCTGGTGCCCTGTATTGTGATAGGTGTTTTTACTTAGCCTTTTATTTCTACTTAGCATACTGGCTTCTTTCTCCCAGCTGTTTCAGACCCTATGTGGGAATTCATACCCCATGTTGGAATGCCAAATGTTGCAGGCTTTCTTTTGGGCCACGAACCAGCTCCCAAGTCATGACATGGGAGATTTCGTATTAGTTATAAAAGTTTGGCCTTATCTTAGACTTGTTTCCTTTTTTCTTCTTTTTTTTGTTTTTTTGAGACAGGGTTTCTCTGTGTAGCTTTGAAGCCTGTCCTGGCACTCACTCTGTAGACCAGGCTGGCTTCGAACTCACAGAGATCCTCCTGCCTCTGCTTCCCAAGTGCACTACCAATGCCTGGATAGACTTGTTTCTTGATATCTCTTATAACTTAACCTGTTTCTCTTCATCTTTGTTTTTCTTTGGGGCTTTTTACCTTTCTTTCCTTCTGTAAATCTTACTCTGCCTAGCTGACTGGTGGCTGCCTAGCTGGTCCCTGGTCTCCCCCTTTCTGTCTCTCTCATTATCTCTGCTCCTTCCCTTTGCCTAGATTTCTCCTCCTACTTAATGTCCCTGCCTGCCAGCTCTTCCTATCCCTCTCCTGCATAGATATTGACTATTCAATCACAGGCCTAAAGCAGGCAAGGTGAAACACATGTAATACATCCTTACATATAAACAAATGCAGCATTACCAAATATAACGTGTCTTTCCGCCGCTCACAAAGGCGGCAGAAACAAATGTAACACAACTTTTCACATGTGAAGTAGTACTCTGCAGCATAGGCAAATGTAATACATCTTTACTTAGTGAAATATTCCCCAACACCCTGCCACAAACTAGGTGACCAAGATTCCAAACTTAGCCAGGCACGGTGGCAACAGGCCTTTAAATCTAGTACTTGAGAGGCAGAGGCACACGGATCTCTGTGAGTTCCAGGCTAGCCTGGTCTACAGAGTGAGTTCCAGGACAGGCTCCAAAGCTACAGAGAAGACATGTCTGAGAAGAAACGGTAGCAGCAGCAGCAGCAACAACAACAACAAAAGCAAAATCTCTACTATACTAACAGCATCAAAGCTGCATATCTGCCATTTCTGACGCACTGGGGACATTCCAGCCATGATTCATCCAGCAAGTTTTCTTATCTTGATGGAAGGTATAGACTTTATCCTCCTGATCTAAGGAAACCTGGGCTGACCAAGGTTGGAACCGGCTGAGAACATTTGCATCACATTATAGTAGTGGAATATGTGGCAGGAGATTCATTGCCACTCGTACAAGTCCTAAGGAGACTGGGGGAAGTGGTGTTGGATGGATAGTCCATTAATTAAGGTGTTTCATTGTGTACCCTCCCTCCCAACCTAATTACTCAAAGAGTGTGAGGTGATTCTTTGGTCCCAACATCATAAATTTGACTTCCCTAACTTAATGAGTGGGAGGGTGGCCAGGTCATTTTCATCATGATTAGAAATAACTTCTAAGTAAGGCACATTAATGCGGACTCCTCCACAGCATGTGTGACTCTGTGATGAGAATATTTCACCGAAGGTGAGGGACTTAGATGGTTCTGACTCATGGGGCTTGCAGAAATAGAGTTAGTGCTAATCTCTCTGTGAATGAAGATGCGGTCTCACACAGTCTGACCTCCTGACCAATAGTTATCTAAAAACTCCTTTCACAGGCTAAAGTCACAGGAATTGTTATGATTAAGCTACACGGCTGATTTTGAAACTTTAATAATATTTGTGGAAAACCAAAATCGTTGCCAGCTTTTCCTGTCTGTAAAATCCACCTGAATGACCAGTACACAGCATAGTGATAAGGCCACTGGCCAATGACATTGAATTGAATTCATGAGAACTAAAAAACAAAACAAAACATAGTAACTTGCAATGGCTTTCCCAGCAATTATCATGAAGAACAGAATAAGCGTTAGAGTAAGCTCCAGGTGACAATACAGAATGGATATGAACCACTTATGGTGTAGTAGTCCCATGAGGCTATGCGTCACGTGGGATATTCCAGCTGTCTTAGTATGCACCCATAAATTTCATCCGGTGAATGTCTCAGAACCTACACTCAATTCTGAGCAGCACGTGTGACTGTGTTTAACTGTGTTGGGCCAGGCTGTTCATGGGAAGTACAGAATGGGGATTACAGCCGCTGTAATTCTGTGTGCTTACAGCGATGTGGTAAGCCCACAGGCACTGGGTAATCTGTGACATGCTAATGGAGCAAGGACACTCCAGCAAGGGTATTCACTGAGAAACAGGTGTGTGTGTGTGTGTGTGTGTGTGTGTGTGTGTGTGTGTGTGTGTGTGTGAGCCGGGGGAAGGTGGGAGTGTTTACCAGTCTGGAGTGTCGTAAGGTGAAATATAGATTCGAAAAAAACTATAGATAATTTTTTCAAACAGTTTAGGCATTGCACAAAACCTGGAACACATTTTAGAAGATGATATGAAAGTGGAGGGCTTGCTGAGGGCAGTTTGTGAATAAGAGCTTCTCTACTGTGGTGCAGGATATCCCACGTTGTTGGTATTCGAAACTGTGAGACTTCACCTGGGTGTAAAGAAAACCACTGGATATTTTCTTAAAAAAAAGACAACTTTGGCAAAGCTCAAGAGAGCATGGGATTAAAAATGAAGAGTCTAGAGGAGAGCAGGATGAGAGATACCATAGTAGAAGGAGTCATTCTAGGTTTGAGGGGAGATCTGGCACTAGTAAGATCTCCTGAGATCTACAAGGATGATATCAACTGGCAAACTAAGCAGTAGTGGAGATACTACTTTAAATGCCCCTCCCTAATAATGATTTTGACGACTATCTTACATACCATCCTAGAATCTCCATCCAGTGACAGACGGAAGCAGAGGCAGACACCCACAGCTAAACACTGAACTGAACTCCTGGAATACAGTGACAGAGAGGGAGGAGTGATGAGCAAAGGGGTCAAGACTGGGCTGGTGAAACCCAGAGAAACAGCTGACCTGAACAAGGGGGAGATCTTGGACCCCAGACTGATGGCTGAGAGGCCAGCATGGGGCTGATACAGGCCCTCTGAATGTGGGTGTCAGTGAGGAGACTCCGGCAATGTACGGGGCTTTGTTTAGTATACCAGTATATATCTCTGGCACACAAATGGACTTTGGGCGCCCATCCCACAATGAGGGATGCTCTCTCAATCTGGACACCTTTGGGGATGGGCCTAGGCCCTCCTTAGAATGAAATGACAGACTCTAGAGATCCCCCATGGAGGGCCTTACACTCCCTGGGAAATGGAGTGGAGACTCGGTGGGTGGCTGGGGAGCTAGTGGGGGGAGTGGGCATGGAGGGGAGGGAGAGGGAACTGGTATTGACATGGGAAGCAAGTTTCTAATTTAAATATATAATAAGAAGTATTTTAAAATATGGCTTGGTTACCTTTTCTCTGTATTGCCCATTCTGCTTTCTTTCCATCTGGCTGGAGACTGCCTCTCTTCTTTCCAGGGCTCTCTTTGTCCACAAGTTCCTGTTATAACTCCTACCTAGCTATTGTATGTTTAGCTTTTCATTAAACCAATTACAGTGACACATCTTCACACAGTGTAAAGGAATTTTCCAAAACATTTCCCCATTTTTGTCTAAACAAAAAGGAAAGGTTTTTAATTCTAACACAATAAAACTATAAACAATAAGAACAAGTATAAGGTAAGAATTATATCATAACGTTCAGTCTATTTATATTTGGCATATTCAGAGAAAATACTCTGTTCTATCTTGATAAGCCGGAAGCTCTGTCCATAACTTACTTTCTATCATAACTGAGGAAAGCTGTAACTATAACTACTTAGTCTTCAACTCCATCCAAGATCCAAGAAGAATATATTATTACCTGAGTAAACAGGAAGTGTAGAGCAAACAACTTCCAAATCTATAGAAATGACAGAAACAGCTGACAGCCTGGACAGTCACTCAAGGTTCCTCTGCAGTGTAGGGACATCCATCTTTAGCCTGTAGGTATAGAATATCTGACAGACTTTTCTGTGAAGCAGGAATTTTTGAAGGAGTGTCCTAGCCTGCCTGATCCTCTGGCAGGTAAGGCTGGGGAAGGGCTGGTCCAGCTGGTCCCTTCTCGTGGCTAAGTGGGATGGTGAGTGTTGATGACTCAGACCACCCTCTTCCTAGTTACCAGGGAGAAACACACTGAGTTGGGAGACTTGTCGAAGCAGGATCTTGTTTTATTCCAACAGGCAGGTGTACTGTGTATTCTTCCCACTAGCCACCTGGGTCCCACACTGCTCTCTGCTCCCAAATAGCACACAAGACACTATATTAATTATGAAGCTGTTGGATGTTTGCTATGGTTTCTTAATGGCTAGCTCTGACTTAATTATTAACCGATAATTACTTATAAATATACATATGTATATTTCTATAAGAACTTATCTTTCTGAGGACGCCATCCTTCTGATGCACCCTCTCCTCCCAGGATCACATGGCAATTCGATACTCTTGACTACACTTCCCAGAATTCTCCTTGACTCCTAGTCCCACCTATCTTGCTTCCATATTGGACAAGAGTGCTTTATTTATCAACCAATCAGACAACATATACACAGATGGACTTCCCCCATCAGGCAGGAACTTATATAGGATTGAGGGAAGGAATGGGAATCTTGCGATGGGGTAAGGTGATATGAAGAGTAAAGGCCAATAATATTTCACCACGATGGCAGGTAGCTAGGTAAGGGGCAGTCTTACATCAGGCCTTGCTGAGTCACCTCTACGTGGAGGTTACAGGACAGAGACAGGCCACCAAACTCTTAGGCTCAGGAGGTTACACTAGGTCTCACATCTGAGCCTTTTTAGGCCCAATATCTCCCCCTTTTGTTTTTGTAAGAACGGCAGAAATGATGGCCCCTATCTTAGTTTGTCCCCCATTGGTGATTTCACCCATCACTGGTCAGCATGCATCCAGCTCATTGAAAAACCATTTCATGACCTGTCTTAGGTTCTCCTGGCCTGCCTGAGATCTTACCTGTCACCAATGTGCTGTAAACCTGTATATAAAACTCCTCCCTTCTACAAGAGAAGAGACCTCTTAGTACTTGCAATGAACACACACACACACACACACACACACACACACACACACACACACACACACATTCTCCTGGCAATAAAGGCAGCACATGCATTTTCTTAGTACGAACAGCTGGACGTCTTGTCTCCCTTTTCCTGATACCTTGGAGTTACTTCCGGTGCGGGCACCACACCCCACCACCCGAATAACTGATAGGGGCAGCAAGTTCCCAACAGATGGTTTCACCCGCTGCTCCAAAGCAAGGGGGCAGAGGCGCACCCTCCATCTCTTACAATCCAACGTCTCTCACCTCTGGACATCACTCTATTTCAGAACCTGGTCCAGTAAGTCTTTTGAGTGGAATTATGGGAGCCCATTTGGGCAGTGCCATAGCAGGCAGGATACATACTTTATAGAAAGCAATACAAGGACAGGGCCCTGGCTTCCCATCAACCTGGGGGATAAACTTGGGCTTCTATATGCATATCTACTTATTGGAATTTGAAAAATCGGATCCTGATGTGTCAATCAGAATGACTGCTGTCTTGGTACCACTATCTACCTGATATATGGCCTGTCCACTAAAGTGAGATACCGAATATGTTCTACCCTTGCAGTCACAGGGTTTCCCCATCAGGTGAGTCAGGATATCTCTGGCGTCCTGTGGGTTTTCAAATCCTCCATCACTGGGTGAGAAGAGCATCATCAATACCAGAAAGGGCAGCATCATTTGTCCTTGGGAGGAGGGGGGAACAGAGGCACAGTTCTCAGGGGTGGAGCACTCCCTGGAGAAGTGATGGTCATCATCTTCTTGTTGGGGCAAATATTTTAGGTCTCTCGCAGGTACCCAAATGGGTCTTTTTTCAGCTTGAGGGAAGACACATCCAAATCCTCTCCCTGCTGAGAGGACCAATGTTTTTGAAAAGGAGACAAGTATTCATCTTCTTTAGGAAAATTTAAAATATTCACAGTGAATAATGTCCTTTTTAATCGGTCATATGGAGGTAAAGATCCCCCCTTTTGTTTCTGTAATTGAGATTTGAGAACTTGATTATGTCTTTCCACAACTACTTGGCCCTGAGGATTGCATGGGATGCCTGTGGAGTGTGAGATGCTCCAAGTCTTAAGAACGTCCATGAAGGCCCTGCTTACAAAGCGCGGGCTGTTATCTGTCTTTATCTGATCAGGCAATCCAAGGGTGGCAAAGCATTGAAGCATATAGCTAATTGCATATTTAGTCTTTTCCCATCATGTTCCAATGCCCAGCAGGCATGGGAAAAGGTATCAGCTGAGAGAAAAATATACAATAATTTTCCAAATGGAGAATAATGTGAAACATCAATTTGTCAAAGTTTATTAGGACACAGCCCTCAGGGGTTGCTTCCAGTAGTCTGGAGGGGAGGTTTCAAAGGAAAGGACGGCAGGACTTACAAGTTCAGACAGTCTTTTTAAGGTCCTTGACTGGCACATGTGGATACTTGTGTTTAAGACCCCTCTAATTAATGTGAGTTAGTAGGTTGAAATGTGTAGCTTCGGTAACAGTATTACATTGTGGCATTGAAGCCATTTTATCAGCCAAATTATTACCTTCCGAGAGAAATCCCGGTAAATTTTGATGACTCCTGAGATGTTGAAGAAAATGGGGTTAATCCTTTGTTTGAGTAGGGAGAGGGCTTGACTCATCAGAGGCATTATAGGGTTGGAGTCCAGATTAATATCCACCTCAATTAGGTTGGGTAACAAATTGACAGCATAAAGGCTGCCAGAGAATAAGTTAAAAGACTCTAATGCAAGAATGACAGCATACAGCTTCTTAAATTGTGCTGACCCTTCAATCTCATAGGAGACTGGCTTTATGGACACTGGCTTCTTTACCATGTTCTAAAGGAGGGTAAACGACTAGAGAAGCCCCCAGGCACCTCCATCCTATCAGTAAACACATTAAGAAAGCCAGGGTTGAGTTGAGGTAAAAAAAAAGTCTGGGGAGCCTCCATTCTAACCTAGAGAAGGAGATCATCCATTTGTAAGGACCATAGTGGCAATCAGCTTTACCCAGAAACCCCTCAAGAGCCATAGCAATCCTGCTATTGTTTCTCTGAAGCCAAGTGAAATCTGTTGCCTTAAAGGAAGTTACAATAAGATGCGGTTCTGCGCCAAACAGTCTGACATAGGTGTCCCTGCCCTTAATAATGCAATCAGCAATCTGATTGGTTATTGTATAAACTCTGGGGACACCAACGATTGAGAGGTGAATCCAATGTATGGGCTCACCCTCTTGTGCTAATAAGGTGGTGCATAACAATTCTCCAGGAAAAACATAAAAGGTGAGGAGCAAAAGAGGATAATACCTCCTTAAGGTTGATATATCTATAGCCATTGAACTTTACTTAAAATCTGTAAATGACTGGGAGGTAGGAAAGATCACAACCTTTTAGGAGGTCAAACAAAGGAGTCAATTCTTCAGTAGTTATAGAAACCCAGGGCCTCAGCCAATTAATTTCCCCAATATCGTTTGGAGCTGGGGCAAAGTATAAGAATCCTGAATGTGAAGTTGGGGCTTAACAGGAGAGACAGTATCAAGAAATATCATGGAATCCAAAATCTTAAAAGGAGGACTGGTCTGAATCTTTTCAGGAGCCACCTTAAAATCATTGGTCTGTAATATGGCAAGACCTTTGGCAGTAAGATCTTGGAGGCCAGACGGGCTGGCACAACTCAAAATAATATCATCCATATAAATATAGAATAACATATTAGGATGACCAATGAAGGAAGAAAAATATGAACCATATAATACTGACAAATAGGAGGGCTATTGGCCATGCTCTAGGGTAGGATGGTCCATCCTCAGAGATAGCATATTTGAGTTCCTTTAAATCATGTGTTTCCCAGGGGTACCAGGCTGCTGGGCGGTTGATGCTAGGGTTAACATTGATGGGGAAGAGATTGCTCAATCCTCCCCACGGAGCACCCTCCCCCCAGTAAGGTAGAGGTACAGAGGGGATTCAGAAAGTTTTAGTGGGAGGATCTGGAAGTGGCGGACCCTTAGAGGGCCAAGGAGCACTTTCAAAAGGATCTAGAGATAGATATAGGGGCTCGGGTTACTGCGAGGAACTAGGATTTGACTTTTTTTCCCTGTGTTTCTTTATCTCCCTTTGTCCCTTCTTAGATCGTTGTTCCACTCTTCTCCCTAGGGCCTTGAGGAGGGAAGCAGTGCTTTAAGGCAGACACTGTCAGGAGGATCCCCAGAGTGGGGATCTCCACTTTTTCCACTTGAGCTCTCCTAATTAGGATTTCAACCCTATCCCAGGTATCCCAATCAAAAAGGTTACTCTCAGGCAGCCAGGAAGAAGTCTTGAGCAAACAGCCCCAGGTAAAGACTCTAATTTTAAGCAGGACCTGTAATGACTTTAGGGTTGGATTTGATTTGGATGAGGACTGCCCCAAAATTTATGAGGGTACACTCACCAGGATCGATTGGCCTGTCAGCGTTCTTCCATTGAAGAGACATTCCTCACATGGGGCACCAGTCTGCTGGGTCCTCTGGCAGGTGGGGCTGGGGAAGAACCAGTCCAGTTCTTATGGGTTGAAGATGCATGCCTCGACATTACCGAGGAAATTTGGGTGACTGTTCAGGTAGCAAGATGTCTCTGTCAGTCCTAGTGTTTATATATTATCCTTCTGTGGTCTTTGATGGAGTTGAAGACAGGTAGTTATAATTATAGTTTTCCTTAGTTATGATAAAAGATAAGCTACATATAGAACTTTGGACTCACAAGGATGGGCTGGATGATATTTTCCTTAAATCTTGCTAAAATATTGTAACTGTGTTCTTACTTGATAACTGTTCTGTTATATATGTAATTTAACTATGTTAAAGTTAAGACCTTTCCTTTTGTTTAGACAGAAAAGAGGAGATGATGGGGGAAGTCATGTGTATATGTCAATAAAGCACTGTTGGCCAATAGGGAACCAAGATAGGTGGGACTAGGAGTCCAGGATGACTCTAGGAAGGAGAAACACAGGAAGTCAAGATGTAATGCCATGGGGTATTCTCCGGTAAGAGAAATACTTAGATTAACAATTATGGGGTAATTACTTAAGTCAGAGCTAGCCAGTAAGAAACAAGCAAGGTAAACAGCTTCATAATTAATATAGCCTCCTGTGTGTTTATTTGGGACTCATGTGGCTCTGGAATCAGGCTGGCTGGAAGGCTTCTCTTTACAATTTTGTTTTATTTTGGCAATATAATGAACTGCTTTCTCTTCTGAAAGTGTTTTTCTTGCTATTTCTGTTTGTGTGCGTGTCTCTCTCTCTCCAATTCTGTGTGTGTGTGTGTGTGTGTGTGTGTGTGTGTGTGTGTGTGTGTGTGATGTGCAGAGGTTTGAGTATAAACACTGGTGACCCTGTGATAGATGTTGAGGACTTTTGAAGTTTGACTGAATCCATTTCCACTACAAGGCTAAGTGTGTCAGGGATTAGAATATAGTGGCTTCGAATCAATGGCCCATCCATGCTTCTAGAGTTCACTGCTTAGTCAGCATAGAATAGCCACTACAGAAGAAGGCTTATGGGTGTGGTCTTATAGTAGCTGAGGCCATAGTTCAGGGGTCATGGTGTGTGAAATCAGTTGGTTGGCTTTGTGGTTTCAAAATCCCCAACCATACTCAAGGGCTGTAACTTTCTGCTGTCTGGACATCAAGATGTAGAATTCTCTGCTATTTCTCCATCAGCATGCCAGTGTGTGTGCCAACACGCTTCCCTCCAGAAGGATAATGGGCTAAGTTTGAAAATGCAGGCAAGCCCCAATTAAATGCTCTCTTGTACAAGAGCATTCATGGGTATGGGGTCTCTTCCCAAAAAGAGACTTTTGTCTGGGACTGGAAAGAAGGGAAGGTAGAAAGAAAGGGGGAAAGAAAGCAAGGAAGGAATGAAGGAAGGAAGGAAGGAAGGATGGAAGGAAGGAAAGAAAGAAGGAAAGAAGGGAGGTCTTCAGGTCCAGAAGAACACTTTGTCTGACCAGGTCTTTATTATAGGCACTCAAGAGTCAGAGGCAGGCCGATTTATGTGAGTAAATGTGTACAGAACAAGTTCCAGGACAAGCAGAACCACCTACTGAGACCCAGTCTCAAACAAACTAACAAAAATATCTACTGGATCGTATGGCCCGAGTTCAACTCACAGAACACACATGGAGGAAGGAAACCAATGACACTCACAAGTTGGGAAATGATCCCTAACTTGGAAGCATTTGGAATGCACTCCCACGCAGTACATCCCCATGAAGTGCTTGTTCCTGCTTGCTCTCTTGTTATCTCTCTCTGTTCCTCTCTATCACACACACACACACACACACACACACACACACACTCAAACACACACATACAAGGACACCCAAGCATGCACAGGCTGGGTCTGGGGGTTGGAGAGCTGGGAGGGGGGCTTCCTGGCTGATACAGACACACACAGCCACACAAAGATACACACATGCAAAGCCACATAATTACAGCACACATACAGAGAGAGAGAGATAATGCAGGAAATTAGATATCTTATGATTTACTTATAGTGAATCCACACAGACAAATAGTTACAAGCATAAATACTCTATTGAGCGATGAATGTATATCTCAAGCATTCTATGTTGGTCAATGAAATCTTGATACAAAGTATAACAGTGAGAAACCGAGGCATGATGAAGCAGTACAAAATAGAAATGCTCCTGCATCTTCAAAATAGCAACAACATAAACCTTTAACGAGTGGCTAGACTTAACCCAGCTCAAGGACCAACTCTCTGAGAAGGAAAATCTAGTGAAGTGTGTGTGGGTGTTGGGCCGAAGTTGATCAATCACCAAGGAAACATGGTCGAGGTAGATGGCAGTGACGTTTGCTGATCTCACGTACAGTCTGCATTTCAGGCAGTTCCTAAGTGCCCCGCAGAAAGAAACTAATTTCAAGCCCTAGTTGGCATGAGTGAGTGACCCTGTCTGAAGCAGTGGGAGAGTGTGTGTAGGATGTCCCCAAGTTCCACTTACCGATTTCATTCTAAGAGCTGGTCCTTTTCCAGAGTATTCCGAAAGCTCGTGCAGGTAGAAATGTAGTCGCCATCAGCGAAGGTCTCTTTGCACAGTCCCAGTCTCCAGTGTCTCTTCTTTCCAGGGGACCGTAAAGACTCAGGTTATTGTCATTGAGCCAGACTCAAGGCTCTGAGGTGGAGTCTCTCGGGTGCTCATCTGGGCTCAACACATGCTGTTTCTCTTCTCTTCCCTTTTCTTCTCTCATCTTTCGTCTTCTCATCTCTTCCGGGCTCGGCTGGGCTCGGCTGGGCTCGGCTTGGCTTGGCTCGGCTGGCCTAAGGCCCTGGGTATCTGGGAACCCAAGCCTGGTCAGCCAAGATGGCATTGATTGTGTGCAGCGCAACTGCAGCGCTGCCCTGGGGTGTGACAGCTGCCAAGAGAGCCATGCCCTCTGTGAGACCCCGGGCTCCCCGATGCTCGACTTCCCGCAATTCGGTTCCAGGGGCTGTGACACCATATTCTGCCCTCTGCATTCACTTCACACACAAATGGTACAGAGACGTACATGCAGGCAAAAACCTGTACACTTAAAATAACCGTAAGAACAAAATTAAAAGGACTGCTATATGTATTACAATGCAGATTCCCAGGGTTTAAATTTAGACTGTTTCCAATTTTTAATTATTTTATAATAGTGTCATATGGGGGTGGGGGGTTTGCTCAATACTGGAAACTATCCAGCAGGAATAATATAATTACTTCTTGCTTTCAAGTTGCTCCCAAGATCATTTTTCGTCCATACTAAATAATTAACAGTATATTTTTAAATTTCCAGTTTTATACAAGGAAGTATTATCAGTTCGTATACTTGAAAACCTTTTCTGTGCTGGTTGGCACTTAATTATGAACTTTCATTAATTTCGCATACATACAAAGATACAGTATTTGTGTTTATATCATGGAAATAGATTTTTTTTCCATTGTGAGAATTAGTGTTCAGGGAGCCTTTGGGACTGAGGAGCACACCAGGGACATTTCTGAATTATGTTGCCACGGACACTTAATAATGGAGAAGGCCAACAAGTATGTCTAATGCATTTATTAATATTCTTTGATTATTCTTGACTCTCATCTAGTAGTAAATCCCAAAGACACACACATATTTACACTGTTTTCTTGGGTCAGTATAGGAAGATATTTTATTTTCCTGATGCCACTTAAGTTCAGCTTTCTGCTTCTTGTAAAAGAAACTTTTAATTGATAAGTAGGATAATTGAAAGTTACAATCCTTACCCCAGTTTATCAATAAGAATTTCTTTTCACTACTCTATGCGGAAGACTAACTATTTGAGGAATCAAGTTATCTGACCCCTCAGCTTGAGAATGTCAGTTCAGTAAGACTGAATACTAAGGCGCCTTTCCTCCATTATGTGACGAGCCAGCTCAAATGCTGTACCATTAATTTTAGAACCTACCTGCATTTTATTGTTCTATTTAATAAATGAAAATGGATGAATGCCTCATGAAGCAAGCCAGGCATTGGCTTTTCAGGTATCTGGTTGAGCAGTTTCTTCTGTCATGATGCTGTTGAAGGAATTACAGGCATATCTTACATTCTAGTGAAAAGTGACATGAATATTAGTCATTGCAGCAAACAAATCCTTAACTTTTAAGTTCATGACTTTCCTACCTTCTAGGGAGACAGTGCAGATTTTAGATAAGTAAGTTTCAGACATGAACAGTCAGGGTGATGTACCCTCTGCTCTATCTGGAATGTGTTCCTGGTGAATGTTGGTCTCCTCTCTCCACTTGTTGCATGTTCCCTACTACAAAACAGTCAGTCTACACTTCGATCAAGAACACTTCTGGCCAAAATGAAAGGATCAGACTCCCAAGAGAACAGCTTACCTTGTTACTCTTCTTCTGGCTCTTGCCATCTATGTAGCATTTAAATGACCATCTAGCCAGACACACAAGCTGGAAGAGAGGTACTTTATTTTCATGTTTGCACCCAAGTGTTTATAATTACCAATCATTCTTACCTCATTCACATCAACTCAGTCCTTTATCTTTTCAACCCCCTCCCTGCCCCGTTTTTCTACTTTGTTGTTTTACCCTCATGGTTTCAGGTCAGGATCACTGATACTCACTTCCAGTTCTTCTATTTCCATCTGATTCTTGATCACCAACTCTTCCTTCAGACAAGCCTTCTGGTGTTAGTGGTGTGTGCTCTGCCTTCAGCCAGGGTCAGGATCACAGTAGCACAACCAGACCAATTCACTTGTTTTGCATCATAAAATGCCCATGTGTTTCTAATCCATTACAAAGAATTGCACTCGGGTATTAATCTGGAGCTCTCTTAGAAGAAATCACCATCTCCCCCTTCAGGGTTTCCCTGATGTCTGCCTCTGGGACTTGTGCTTCAAGGTTCCTTCAGACCCTAGTTCTTACAGCTGTAAAATGACCATATAATTTATACTTAAAAGATAGTAGGCTCAAATTACCCAATTCTCAAACCAACCCTTTAATGTGAGATATATTTTTTTTCCTGATAAATGTCACTTCGCAGATAGAGAAATTGAATGACAGCAAGACCGGTATCTCAGGGGAGAAATGATGGCGCTTTGCTAAAGGGCTTCAAGTCAGGGAGCATTTGGCCAACCACTTTCCTGTCAAACTGCACTCACGCTGCCCTTACCTCCATATTCACAGAAGCTCTTGCCCTTCTTCACCTCCCGCCGCCCGAAGCTCCATCCTTCCCACCACCCTTTCAGCGATGCTTTCTGTGTTTATTAAGCAAGCCAGGATGATTTAATCTGAATTCCCAGTCTTCCTAACAGTGACTGACAGCTTGGTAAAGGGGTAAGCTTCCTATAGTTTGTGTTACGCTGTTTGCAAACACTTACTGTGGGTGGAAGTCAATGATCCTTAGCTGTCAAAAAAGGGTAGAGAACTTCTTAAGCACCTTCCAGTAGCTTCCAGAAGTCTTCCTCATGGGAAGCCTCCTCCAGGTCCATTTTATGGTCTTAATTAAGCTCATGGGCTTGAGCATGGGGCTCTGTCTCTAGCTGAGATGACATGCAGATTAATTCCACTGTGTGATGTAATCTTCTCTCGTCATAGAAACGGATGACGGAGATGCTAAACTCCAATATTAGCTCACTGTGAAGATTAATTGGAATAGGGTGAGAAAAATAAGACTGTAACAGTGCTTATCACAAATCACGTCCTTAATAAGTTTCATATTTCTTGGCATTATAACTTTTGACACTTTTCTCTTTGTGGCTACTGGGTGTGCTGAAACTTCAAATTGCTTTTCAGAGGAAACTGGATAACATGTAGCATACATCAGTTGTAATTGACACAGTAATAAACATCCAGAATGGGTGCCAATGTACGAGGGAGACAGATCTAATATTGATATCATGTAAAACCTAGTTGGCTATGCTTCAGTAATAGTTTAATCTTGCTTCTCTCTTTCCTCCTGACTAGTTCGAAAAATGAATAAAAGCCTGCATATCTAAAGGTTTCTGTTTAATACTGTTAAATAAAAGTTTGGTGAATAAATAGACTGATGGGCCAAAGAGTAATCATTTAATTAGAGCACACAATTCCTGCCTCATGCTTAAATATTGCTATAATTGTACTACAAAATATCAAATTTTAACACTAACAGAACGCCCTTTAAAACCTTCGACGCTGAAGAACATCATCTCTGCAAGAAAGGAGGGGAACTTTCAACAATAGTATAAATAGTTTGTGGATCTGTTCATGATGAGATATGAAGATTTTCTAAGGTGACTGATTATTGTTATAACTGCTACTCATGTTTCCAAAAGGAAAGATAAACAGATGTTAGTTTGGAAGCCTAGATACCATGTGGGTTTTTAGTTAATCACATGGCATTGGTACAGCATCACATCTCTGGGGAACCTCCTCGCTCTGTGAGGAAAATTAGCAATTTGAAAAACAATAAATATGTCTAATCTGCATTAACAATCACAAGTCGGCAGGTTTGGGGCCATATAGATCTAGCGTCCTTTTGTTATATTTGTGAACACTTAGTCCAAACCTTAGCTTCACGTTTATCTGTGTATGAAATGGATGAAATTGTGTTTATTTTGCATGCTTGTCATGGAGATGAATTACTGCGTGCATTTTCGCATGACACGTGGTTTTCGTTTAGGAAAGGTTCGCTAACAAAAATTTTCTTTAAAACATTTAAAAATATAGTCTGTTCATTTGAACAAACACATACCATTGGGAACTTTCAATCAATGGAATGAGTGTATCAAAATTATTTAGCACTCCCGTCTTCCTTTATTATAATGAAGATTCTTTTAATTTTTGATAATTTCATACAGGTATGCAATGAAATAGCCACCCTCTAATTTCCACTTGTGTATCATAGTCTTTGTCAGAGTCCCTGCTCGGGGAGGCATAGCTTCCACTCTTTGTATCTTGATCACTGGCCATGCTGTGCAGTGGCCACTTAAATATTTATGTCACGCCCTGAGTTGCTTTAGCTTGAGGCAGAGAAACTTCTTTCTGATGAATGGATACATAACTAGTCAAAATGCTGACCATAGGAGATTTGACTGCTCAGCTCCAAACAGCACACCTGTATCAAGTCCCTCTTCGGTAAGTCACAAAAACACAGGGGAAGAAATGTGCAAGACGTGTGTAAGGTCTAGAGGATGGGGAAGTGAAATGTAAAATGCCATCTTCTGGACATAGCATGGCGATTGCCCTCAGAAATGAAAAAATCCTATGGTCACCCAAAGAAGATTCATACAAGATCAAGCCAGCCCACTCTCTAGAAGAAACTGGGGTAGGAGCATTCTCCTAAGTACCATCCATTGGTGATTTACTACTGATGGTTAACAGCTGATGGGAGAGTGAGAAGGATTCTTCTTTGACAGGATGGTTGCTACTAGGTATCTGATCCTCCAGTGGATGGACTTGGTGGGTTATGAAAATTACCCTGCAAATTCAAAATTTTAAAACCACCATCCTTTGTGCTGTGTCAGTGTTAATGAGGAAATGGGCAACAGCAAAAACATGGTTTAAAACAGCCATACTGTAGCAGAAGATGCAAAGGAAATGATGTCACTAATCAGAGCTGTGTCGCTGGCCAGGCATTGGCAATGGCAAGGGAACAACAGCTTCAATAGCTGTAATAAAGGGTTCTAGAGACCATAATGAAATATCTGATGGAGAGACTGCTTATTTTAAAGAGGAGCTTTGTTCAGGTCAACACCTACAACATCTCAAAGGTCATTCCTGGGCCAAGCGAGCATATCACCTCATGCTAGACAGCAGTGAACAGAGTGCATGCTGGAGCTTTGACTCACATAGGGATCCACGAATCAGAGGCAATTGGGTGGGGCCAGGCTTGTTCTTATCCACACTTCAAGGGAAAAGTCTTTCAAGAGAGAAACTTTCTGACAGCATGCCAAGGTAAACTAAAGATCTCTTTGTAGATCTTCACATCCTAGGATTCACAACATCTCTCATAGCACTCCCAGCAGACCAAGAGTCCAATTACTCAATACCTTCTGGAGTTAGCAGCAGCTATTAGTAATTAATTCTCCATGAGAATTTATTATGTGTCTGATCCTGGACATCTAAATATGTGCTAGTATACTCAGATGTGGATTGGATGAGAAATATCCCCCTGTAGGATGTGTTTAAATAATCTACAGCTGTGGTTCTGTTTGTAGAGGCTATGACACCTTTAGGAGGAGAAGCCTCGCTAGATAATAGACATCACTGGTGATGTCTTTCAAGGTGTACATCCACCTCCTGCTTCTGGATGATTCTCTCTGTGTCCTGTGTGTGCGTGAAGATTTGAGCAGTGAGCTACCTGTCTTGACAGCATACCATGCCTTGTTATCCTTTTATGAACTCAGCCTTCCAGAACCAAGAGCCAAAATATATTCTTTCTTTTATAATTTTCTTTTGGTTATAATATTCATCATGGCAATGAAGAAGTAATCAGTACTCATAGAGACACTATTTGGGGATGTTTCCACTTCCTTCAGAAATCATGGGATCATCCAGGATAGGCGCACAGTTGAGATGACCATGGGAAGTAGGGGAAAATGAGGTTCAAAGATGACTTAAGAATGAGTACTATTATTACTAAGGTTATTATCTAGCCTAGCAACACAGCTCTGCAATGGGACCTTTGCCTAACAAATGCAAGGGAACCCTTGTGATTAAAAACAAGTCAAGATGCCAGAAAATCCATGGTTGGTAGGATTTCCAGGATGGTTTAACAAAGGGATCTAGTTGAACGGAGGAAACACATCAGATCTTTGTGGGATCCATCTTAGGTATCCAACTGATGCCGTGGGATGATGCATGTATGTGTGAAGAAATTAAATGAAGAGAAAGACTTCAATAAATTGGAGAAAATAGTGACTGATCTCAGCTGGGGCCCAGAGAATTGCCTCAGGTTAAAGAGACTGAGTAACCATGCGTGCCATGGATAACCAGGAATAAAATACAGGGAGATTTTTGCTGAGAACCAGGAAATAATGTCTCAGTCTTGATACTGTTATGCCCTTACTGAAAGAAATGCAAAGGCAATATGTGAAAAGATTAAATGCCTCCATGTGACTTAAGTGAATTCCAGAAGTAACCTCCAACATATTCATAGAAATGTAAAAGCGCCCAGCCCAAGAGAAGGTAAAACTCACAGTGTCTGAGGTACACTGAAATCGGCAGGAAGAAGACAAACAGATGGATAACTCAGAATTAACATGGATACTAGGATTGGAAATGTAATATGCTTGTTTGTTTGTTTTTAAAGACAGTCAAATTCTAACATTAAGTGAAAAATAAAATATGTTAAGTAACAATTTCTGATACAAACATTTTGATGTGTCAGCTGAAAACTACACATGATATGGAAAGGGTATTTCACATTGAGGAAAGGCTAGTGTGAGAGGTACCTACATAAAAGTCGACAAACAATAAAGAAGAAAGATTAACATGATGTAAAACATTACTCCTCAAAGTTGAGAAGAATTATAAACCTGTGTGCACACAGACAATCCTGAGAGCACATAGAAAGAAAGACAGGAAGAAAGAAAGAAAGGAAGGAAGAAAGAAGAAAGAAAAAACATAGAGAGACACATGGTGATTTTCAAAACAGAAGATCAAGGGAAAAGTATCACACCAACCCACCTCAGATGAAGGAAAAGTCGGGGTCAGGATTTCAGCTCATGTATCACCAGACACAAGAAAAGAGAGCGGTTGGGGTGGGTAGGTGAAAGCTTTATTGTACCAGGGGGAAATGCAACCCAGAACTTCAAGTCGAGGGACAGATCTCACATAACAAAATGAAAGGAAAACAAGGAAGTAAAAACAGTTATGACTCCAGAAAGCAGGCTGCATGGTAAGAAAAATGTAAAGGCAGTTCTTCAAGTATGGAGAAAACACAGCAAGGGAGCTACCTGAGAGTGAATGGAAAAGGTTATTTTAAATCACATGTAGGAGTACAATGCATAGATCTCCAAGGCAGAGAGATATTAGTAAGGAAATACATTGAAATAGTTGTAAGGAAATATGTTGAAAGTATTCCTCCACCTTAAGCAGGAGGATGTATTTGCAAACAAAGGCACCATGGCATTAAGTTTGAAACTATCACTCACAGAGCAGGTGACTTTTAACTGATAAACAAAAGCCAAAGTCAAATGAAGAGGTAGACAGCTGATAAGAAAGAATGAAAACAGAAAAATAGATTAAACATATGTATTTTATACTACTGAATAGTAGATTTAAACCTAGTAAAATTCAAATCGCCCTGTTGAATATGTAGCTTCAAAACATTCCTATTAGAATGCTACTATGACCAGAATATATATGAAAGATGAAAAACCCATCTACTTCATGTGACAAATGTTTAAATATAAACATACAAGAAAAGTATAAAGAAATGTTATTCCTGTCTATAAACAGCACAGCAATACTGAGTTCCCATTATTAGCATTTAGTATGGTTAAGTCTAGACCAGAAACATCTTTCTGGTGTG